GAAGTCAGCTTTCTAATGAAACCCTTCTAACCGGCTCAACACGTTATACGTGTGAGTGCTGACAAGCTATGGTAGTATACCATGAAAAGCTGAGTTGGAATGAAATGGTGCCCCGGTAGCGTAACTGGTAGCGCACTTGCCCGGAAAGCGAGAGGTGCGGGTTCTAGTCCCGCCTGGGGCGAAAGTTTTGTTCACAACCCAGCATTCTTGTGAAACGAATCACTTGGTTCAAAAAATACCTTCCTTTTACCAAAACAGGTTTTCTGAAGAAGGCCATGATGAAAAGTCGAAAATACTGAACGGAAAGCTTGGGAGAAAGTGCAAACGTATGATATCTCGGAAAGTTAATAGAAACCACAGCCTCTGTGGTTCCCTGTATGCCAAAAGTTTACCACAGAAATGAGGAAGAAGAACATTACTGTTCTATGAGACTAAAAACTCACGTTTCAAGAAAATTGACCGCTAAACCCCGCAAGCTTAAGACTAGGCTCAGGCCCAATCATAGGCTTAGGAATAAGCCGTAATGTCCGCTTATGCCTAAGAAGCATAGGTACATCTCCCTATGCTTCTTAGGCATAAGCCAATGTTTAAGCATAAGCCTTAACCTAAGTCTGATTCCAAAATTAACCTTAAGCTTCAATGATCGCGCAACTGTGGTGACCTTGACCTCAGTAGGAGAAACTGTGTCTCCTCTTGCTGAACACCTAAATCCTGTTGTTTCTTGGAGTGCGTCATAAAACGACAGGAAGGAAGTTATGATCTCAAAAACCCAAAAATTTGCGTTTGCACGAGAAAGTGCGAATGGGGAATTTTTGGAAAAATACATAGATGTCTACATTTCGGTCGCAAATTACGGTAACAAGATGTGGTGGTCATGGAAAACCTGTTCAATTAAAAGAAGAGAAGTGGAAAACAAAAATATGTTCACTGAAGGGTAATAAACGAAAAACCACATGGTCCTTCCGAGTAGCCACTATCCGCTTTGAAAAAGGAATGAAGTCTTCCAGGGAATGAGCTGACCGCGGCGTGTTGATAGACGGCCTCGAGTGCGTTCCAGGCATTATGAAGCGGTTTCTTGAATCCATTAACGTCTCCATGATGTCAGCAGCAGGTGCTCGTCTTCCCCACTCTTCGTACAGCGTAAACCAGTAGATTTGAGTTGGGAACTCTAGGTGGCCACTTTCCAAACGCAATAATCTCTGGGCAGTTCAGCTGGCAAGAACTTCGCACAAATTTCTCGTGTGCCGGTTCTACAGAAATGTTGCACGATGTTGTGGTTTCTTCCCTTCGTTCAGCAATTACTTGAGAAAGAAAGGTCCAAGATAATCCTTCTTTTGTTTTATGTTTTGTGAAACAGAAGTCGAACTTGTCATCATTTTCGGTATGTTCACCGCAAAAGCCTTCTGCATTTCTGAATTCGATGATGTCTGAGACATGCCCTTGAGGTTTTTTTGCAATGCATCCATGATGAGCAGCCAAATCCTCACCGTTGTCTACAGTGATATGTTCGGAAGAGCGATGCTGAAGCCGTAGTGAAAATGACGCAAGTTCACAGATGTGATTTCCGCATCAACTTCCAGGCCCATATGTGCTGAATGTTGTGGAGAGGATGGGGTCCCGTCCTGCGATGCTGAATGAATGTTGGGGAAAGAACGGAGCCATGCAGGGTTTTGTCACAGATCAACCGGTCAGTCGTCAACAGGGTCAACCCTACGTTGTTACTAGTAACAACGGGGGGTCGTACCTTGGTTGAGTTTGTAGGAGGGGGGTCGTACCCGCTTCAGTCGCTTGAAATCACATGTGAGTTTGAGGTGAAACTGAAGTTTTTATGGGTAGTAGGCTGGGTGAGTTGAGGGGCGCAGGAAAAAATTTGCCGTTTCAGCGCGCGTATATACCCCCCCCCCCCGCTCGACGGCATTTTTGGAGGAAAAAGTGGGCGGAGTTTGGTGGGTTGAGTGGTATCAGAATTAAATACTATAGAGACGATGATGGTGGTCGAGGTGTGGAAAAGGGGGTCGTATCAAATCCACCTTGGGGGAGGGGGGTCGTAAAAATTTTTCAAAGTAACAACGATAGGGTTGACCCTGTGTCCTCCCGTGATTCTATTTTCATCCTTTCACTGTTTTAGATTCGATTCGTTCACGTACATTTGCTATCTTGATGTACTGCGCCAATATGACAAGATGTGGTTTATCAGATTATAGGTTGGCCGACCCTGAATCTGAAGGTGTGTAGCGGTAGTTTGGGGAATACATAACATTTGGACTATACATCTTTATTACTTATTAATGATAGAAGAGATAAGGGTGAGAAAGGGGGAAGGGGGAGTGAGTGCCGGCTGACGACTGACGACCGACGACTGTCCGTTGGCTGGTGACCTCTCCTTAAAGCAACAGTCCCAGCAGGGTGGGCGTGGTCGGAAACGGCTGCAATCCCCTCGGCCGATTCCCACTTCGGAGCTGTTCAGCCCCTAGTCAAGAACGTAAGAAGTGTGACTGAACAAAAACTCACCTTGGAAAGCCGCTAGGAGGGAGCTGAAGTGGGCGTGGTCGGAATCGGCCGAGGGGATTGCAGTCGTTTCCGACCACGCCCACCCTGCTGGGACTGTTGCTTTAAGTACTGTCCTCCGTGTGAGGAACGACCGATGGCAGTTGCTCAGATACCGTAACCCTGAGCACGTCTCTCCAACGACGACACGGACCCGACAGGTTGAAGACGCGAATTATCATCGCAACTGAATGGATAGACTGGCACTTTTACGACTAGACACATGGGGCCGTATTTGTTCCTTCCCCCAGGTAAAAGCGTCCCCCTCTGATTCAATCCTCTCAAAGCTCTGGGGGGACAAAAAAGGGTTGCGTCATAGGACCTCGCATACCTCTGTGTTTCTACCTGCCAGACAGTTAGAGCAGCGCTACTACCCCCTGAGGGGAAGCGCTGTTCAGCGCGACCCCTCAGGGGGTAGTAGCGCTGCTCTAAGTGTCTGCATGAAGCAACTTTTTTTCTCTTTCCCAAAGATTGTATCAGAGGAAGGGGACGCATCTACCAGGGTGAGGGATTGAATACGGCTCATGGAAGTACTCCATGCGGCCCCTAGTCTGAGGAAACGGTAGCATTGTTTTTGTGCATTTTTTCGTGCGGCGCGGTGGACGACTTGTCGCGTGATTGCGGAGTTGAGTTTTTAAATGCGCGAAGTTGTCGCGTTTCAAAACGGGTTTTCACGTAGTTGTTGGAAGTTCTTTGTACTTTTTGTTTTTCTCGTCATGAAATTGAATTCTTACCAATTGGCGGAATTGAAGAAGTATGTGCGAACCGCTTAGTTTTTGTTTTTGTCCTGATTTCACTGGCTTATATATCTATGTGGCGAGTTCCCAAAGCTCCCACTCTATTTCAGCTTTTCCATCTGGTTTCAGTATATCAGTCGAAAGTATTGATTTCATATGTGCTATGGCTTTTAATCCTGCGATTTGCCCAGCTAAGCGTGCCCGAACCTTTCAAGAGTTTAGGTATTTAGGAAGACCCGTCTGAACCCTCTTGCACTCATTCGTTGTTTCTGCTAAGGGAATTGAGGAATGGGTGACGCTGGTCAGAAATTCGACCATGGGCAAGGGCATGTAGTGATCAAGCAAGAGGTATGTTCGGTAGATGTAATCTTTTTATTGGCAATTTCACGTTGTCTATAAAAGGTGTTCACTCCATCAAATGTTTTGCATACATTAAAGAGTCCGATATTTTCCAGAAAGTAGACTACCGCTCTCCAGCGCCTGCACGGCGACATGGCCAGCAAAGTAACAAACTTAAATACCCTGATGTCAGGATGGCTTCATGTTTTCGGTAAGTGTTGTCGTTTGCATGAACCTTTTTTCAAATGTTCACACATTTGCAATTTTTGCGACCCGTCGCAGGTTTCAATCAAATCGTGAAAATCGCGAAAGTTTGCGAAACCTGCGACGGATCGTCGACTCGGACACCAGCCTTAGAAGAATAACTGCTTCTAAGCGAAGTGCTTGCCACCGTGGTCTCTGGCAGATTGGTAGAGTGGAGTAGCTTTCAGACGTTGCAACAAACTCCTATTGCACTTGCATCACAGTGGAAAGTGGACCTAACCTTTATGTAGGAGGAAGTATATTGGGTGCTAATTGGGTATTGGGACCAGGCGGCGGTGCGGCACTCCGCTCGCCTGTCATTTTTGCGTACTTGGCAAATTCGTGAGCCAGGGGGAGTGTAGGCATGGTAGGGGTGGGGGTGAGAACAGGCACTTGGCATGCGTGAAAAGCTGTAATGTTAGAGTTTACATTATCAGTAATGGTAGTGGAGAGTAGAGGAGTGTTTATGAGGCGATACTAGGCGTATCTGTATTGGAAGTCGTGATGACGGCAGGGTGGCCGTGCGCCTAACATCCTTTTAAAGCCCCTTCAGCTCTCATACACGCCCACTGCCGGCACATGAAAGGGGATATGTATTTGAACTCAAACCGTAACCGTCATTTCATATTTATAAAAGTATTTTCTCGAGAGGTAATCTAGAACATGTACTCAATCCATTTCTAATCACTTTCGAAAAAAAGCCACCTCAGATTTTATGCGATGTACTGCTCGAAAATTGGATTTTCAGACCTAGTGGGCTACTTGCCTCTGATCTACCTGTGGACAACAAGCACTACGTTGACAAGTCGATGGGCTTGCGGCATTTCTCAACTAAAGTGTGCGAGAAAGTCAAGGAGAAGGGTCGAACCAATTACAATCAGGTTATCAGCCACTGTTCTGAGCTTGTATTTATAAGGAGGGTTGTCGCTCTTTTTCCAACCTTTTTTTGCATAATTTAAAGAAAGCCATCACGATAAGGAAAAGCCGCTTCGGGACAGTGTATGCGCCGTACGAAGCCGTTACTTGGCTGCCAAGGAAGCGAGTGTGGCGCTTTCTCGATGAAAGGGATTTGGCGACCATGGTCGGAAATGAAGGGACAGTCAAGGGGTTACTAGTGCCGCATTCTTGACGGATTTCTCTGCTTTGCTCGCTATTGGCGTACCACCGAGCACCCCACGTCCAGTCTTAACCTTTCTAGAATCCATCGTAATCGCTGCCTTCAAGGGCCCGTGTGTGATACTTCATTCCGCGGCATTGAAAAAAGTCGGGTCAAAACCGATTATTACTGAAGAAGTGACTCAAGAGCTCTGCCTGCGTTCGCCGAAAAACGAATAATTGTGTTGTTGGGATTCTTTCGAGAAAGTTGTAATAACGTGCAACGATCATATTCACTATCAAAGGGTTGTAAAAAAAAATAGACTTCACATTCAAATTGTTGATTTTCTAGGTCGCTGATGAACTTGTAGCAGAGTATTTTGCTGCCAATAATATGAATTCTGAAGAGTTCCTAGTGAGTTGCGATTTTTTTCCTTTACTTCGTCATTTATATCATCTATTGACAGGAAAGACAAAAATTTGATCAAAAGAACATTCGACGTCGTGTCTATGATGCCCTGAACGTTTTACTTGCAATGAACATCATCTGTAAGAGGAAGAAGGTACAGCTTTCTCGCAATCACTATAATGGCGTTGTAATGCATGCTTCTTTAGGACATCGATTGGGTTGGATTACCAGCTACCAAGGCCGGCGAAATAAAGCGGCTTGAAGAAGAAAAGGTAATTCTTATATTCGTCTTTCTGTGGTGGATCATTTCAATTTTTTAGGCAAAGCTCACTGAAAGGATCCGACGGAAGAAAGAAACTATTCAAGAGCTAATAGTACAGCTTGTTGCTTACAAAAGCTTAGTGTGGAAAAACCGTGAGATGGAGAGGTAACAGCTTTTTCCAGACTTTCATTCTCAGTTCTTCCATAATCAGTTGGGAGCGTGAGCGTACACTTTTTTTTTCAGAGTATCCGCCAGGCCACCTGAAAACACGATTCTTTATCTTCCTTTTGTAATTATCAATACTTCAAAAAAGTAAGTTTTGGGTCAAGCCTCAGTTAGGGGTGGCATCATGATGCAGTCTTTCCAGAAGGCTAGGGTAATTCTAGCCAGGGGGAGTGTAGCCAGTCTGCGGGGGTGGGGTGAGGGCAGTCACTTGACATGCGTGAAAAGCTGGAATGTTCGAGTTCACACTAGTTCGCCAAGACTGCATCATGATGCCCCCTAACTGGAATAGACCCTAAGTTTCTTCTAGATTTTCCTTGTTCTGCTTTGTGTTGTTCCGCCCATAATTTCGTTTATCCATTATTCATTTTTGCATTATGATGATTTCACGGAGACGTTGAAGACTGGCGCGGCGCCTACTTCCACAAAATTGCAGTAATGTGGGACTGCGCGAAACGTGTGCTCTGCACCCGATACATCATTTTTCTGCGCATCCACGATTTACTTCTAATTATGTTGCATTCTTTTATACATAGAAGACATCTTAGCCCAACATAACGGCCCATAAAACAGTGTGATGTACTTTAGCAATGCTCTTCCAGACCCACTAATTTTTCAGTGCGGTCCATTTATCGTTTCCTTTTTGTTTTGATCAATGAGCGAACAAGCAGAGTAGTAGACGTAAGTATGGAACATAATGGATGTAAGGTTAAATGTTTTGGTTGGAACGGTAAAGGCTAAGGCCGATGTCAGACTTTGCGAATCACGAGATTCGCTACTAGCGATTTGGGCGATTCGCAGTCTGACATCGGCCTAAATCGTTCCAATGTCCGCCGCGGCTGGGTCTAATAATTCCATTTTTTATTGGTACGAATTGTTGCTTTCAATAGCTATTTCACTCCTTCAGATCGCAGTTCAATCACTATACCTCTGATAACTTCTGAAAAGTGCTTAAATAATTTTCTATCATCCATGCTTAGTGTAATCGCCAATCAAAACCCTTGTGAAAAAGATGAAATGGCCGCGGTTCGTAATGAAGTGTCCTCCCACCCCCCCCCTAAAAAAAAAGGCTGAAACACGTTCTCGTCAGTGTATCAGTTCGCGAGTTCTAGTTTCAACGTTCGCTTTTTAGGCCCGTCTAAATAATTTGCCTTGGAGTACATTCTCAGGTTTTGTTGTGAGATTATCTAAATTTTATTCATCGTGATCTCCATTTTGCGGGTTTGTTTTCTCACAGAGTATCTGTTTTCTCTGAGATATTTCAATCATTGCAGCACAACTGTCGACTGTGCTGTGTCTGGAGACCGATCAGAGTTCCTGTTTAATTTCGACCAGTCATTTGAAGTTCATGATGACTTTGAGGTACGAAGGTGCTTCGCTTTTGGTTATTATACATGCATTGATAAAGTTGTGTCACACTACAGTGCAGTGAAACTAACATAGGACACCCCTTAGTGCAATAATGATACGGCCCATAGGGATCATCTCATGTTAACACCTAGCCTCTGGTCATGACCCGAAATGAACAAACTCTGTCAACTCACAAATCGGTTTATCCTTAATACACAATAGCACTGGAACGAGATCCTCCGAATAATAATGCACATATTCAGCGATACAACCAATACACAGTAATGAATAGGGGAAACATCCCAGATCAGCAGCGGGGATTGGATCGACCAATCGACGAGGGTCGACGGGGGCATGGCGCATCCCCGGATCGACGGTAGGATGGAGTAGGAAGTCGGAGTCGTTGATCAGGCGAATCCTCTGTCCTCAGTCGTCGTGGTCGAGCCAAGAGCCTTGAATCGTCCCGTCCACGGCTTTTATTCGGTCCC